CTCTCTCTCTCTCTCCTCTCTTCTCTCTCTCTCTCTCTCTCTCTCTCTCCTTCTCTCTTCTCTCTCTCTCTCTCTCTCTCTCTCCTCTCCTCTATCTCTTATCTCTATCTCTTCTCTTTCTCTCTCTCTCTTCTCTCCATATTGCTCTTGCTTTTGGCTTTGATCCCACACTCCAATCTCTGTTACCTTTCTTTTTGCCATTCCTTATTTGTTTTTCGCTTCCTTTCTTTTTTTTTTCACTAACAATTTCTCTCCCCATTTATCTCTAGCTTCCTCTCTCACTCCTACACTTCTCCTTCCCTCCTCCTCTCGATCTACATTCCCCTCTCCGTTTCCCTCCCTCCTTTCTTCCTTCATTCTCCCCTTCCCTCTTCCCTCGAGCTCTGTATTCTAAATCTTGAGTTCGTGATTCAAAGCTCACATTCTACTCAATATTCGGCCGACGCTTGATCTGATTTCGGTCGACGTGATTCACTTCTGTCTCGAGACACACAGACAGACACCAGCACAACAACCCACAGACACACACACACAAAATGAATAAACAAATAAATACATATATAAACAATCTAAAATCACATATTCAGCTAACACACACTCAATCTCCCTCTCTCTCTCTCTCTCTCTCTCTCTCTCTCTCTCTTCTCTTCTTCTCTCTCTCTCTCTCTCTCTTCTCTCTCTCTCTCTCTCTCCTCTCTCTTTTTCCCCCCACTCATAACATTCTGTACATACACATAACTCTCACACCATTTTTGGGGAGAAAACAGAAAGAAAAAATCCGTGTTCTTCCTTTCTTCCTTCTCCCTCCTTATCTCCCTCAATCAACCAGCTTAAACCCGAATGGAACATCAGGAACACCCTCACGTCACCTTTTAAATTCCACCAACGCACCTGAAAATGAATGAGGGAGTGAGAGAAAGGGAGAGGGAGGGAGAGGGAGAGGGAGAGGGAGGGAGAGGAGAGAGGAGAGAGAGAGGAGAGGGAGAGGGAGAGGAGAGGAGAGGAGAGGAGAGGAGAGGGAGAGAGAGAGAGAGAGAGAGAGAGAGAGAGAGAGAGAGAAGAGAGAGAGAGAGAGAGAGAGAGAGAGAGAGAGAGAGAGAGAGAGGGAAAAAGAAGAAAAGAAGGAAGAATGAGAGTGGAAGAGGGAATAGTGAGAACAGATAAAAGAAGAAAATAAATGGGTCACGGTAAAGAGTGGGAGAATGAGAGAAAGAAAGAGAAAGAAAGGGAAGAGAGACAGAGAACGAAGGCGACTATAACAACAGACAGAGCAAAAAAAAAACAATACTAATAGAAAAAAAAACGATAAACTAAAATAAAAACAAAAAATGAACAAACCGAAACAGAAACAAAGAAAGAGAGACAGAGACCGACGAAAAGAGAAGAAAAGGGCGTCCCACTGGTGTATGGCCATCCACGTGACCTTAAACACTTGAACCGGCGGCCCATCACACGCCCTTGCTCTGCCGGGGGTCTGGGCTCTCCCTGTCCCCTTTTCCTCTCTCCGTTTACTGCATTCTGCCTGCTTTGTGTGTTGTGTGTGTGTTGTGTGTGTGTGGTGTGTGGTGTGTGTGTGTGTGTGTTGTATGTGTTGTGTTGTGTGTGTGTGTGTGTGTGTGTGTGTGTGTGTAAGTGTTGTGTGTGTGTGTGTGTGTAAGTGTGTTTGTGTACGTGTGTGTGTGTGTGTGTGTACGTGTGTGTGTGTAAGTGTGTGTTGTGTGTGTGGTTTGTGTGGTGTGTGTTTGTGTGTGTGTGTGTGTGTTGTGTGTGTGTGTGTGTGTGTGTGTGTGTGTGTGTGTGTGATTTTTATGTAATGGATGGATGATGCATAGCTACTTCTTTCTACCCTCATTTCCTTTCCCCTTCCCACCCTTTTTGTTCCCTCCTATTGCCTTATGACCCTCTCTCTACCTTTCTATCACCCTCTCCCCCTCCTCCCCCCCCCCCTCCCTCCTCTCTCTCTCTCCTCTCCTTTTCCCTCCCTCTCAGTCGTGGTGTATCTCTCGTAGGGCTAGGACGTGACAGATACTGTCCATAGACGTGAGGTCCCGAAGTGTTTACCCGCCCCTATCTGACTCGGACAGGGAGCGGGTCATCTCCTACCAAGGTATCAGCATGGCTAGTGTTGCTAGTGGAAGTGGAACCCATAAGAGGGTAAGAAGTGATGGAAGCGTAGACATGATGACGAGAATGGATGCGAGCGGGAGAAGAGGAAGAAGAACGGAAACGAAACAGCAGCCCAGAATGTTGCCGGTGTGAACGGCAGGAAAGACTGCTATTCCACAGGACTGTGCCTTGAGTTTCTTAGAAAAATTAAAGGTGGGCCATGCAACTGGGTCGGGACCACGCTGATTTCGAGCCAGTGATGAAGGAAGGAAAGGGAAGGCCGTATCTCACGGTGCGGGCAGGCCAGGCGGTGCAGACGCTGACGACTCAGGGATACAAGGGGACAGTGATGACTGTCCCAAAGGCTGGGGAAAAGTTCACCAAGGTGATAATTTTCCGATATCCCACGATATTAGACCCGGACTTCCTGCTGGCCGACGATAGATTTGTGTGGGTAAGGCGGCACACGTCCAGGGGCGAGGAGCGGTGTCAGCTCGTTGCCCTTGTGAAGGGGGTGCCAGAGAAGGTATTCATCTCTGGAGCGGGGTACAGGAGGGTGGCACCGTATGTGGAGCCCTCCAGTCATGTGCCTCAAGTGCTGCAGGTGGGGACACAAGTCGTGGGCCTGTCAACAGGATGCTCGATGCAGGTTCTGGGCAGGACACATGACTCAAGAGTCTGCCGGGCCAAGATTGAAAAGGGGGAAAGGGTTATGCCTTGCTGCTGCAACTGCGGAGGGCGCCAAATGCCGGTCTCATGCATGCAGGGTGAGGCCACAAATCAAGATTGCTTCGGATGGTCCCAAGGAAGAGAAAATAAAAAAGGCCGTCACACGCGGCCAGATGGTGCCGAGGGAGGAGACACTGGTCCCTAATGCCTGGCAGGGCCCACCGCGGGTGGTGCCGTCGCCAATGGCTTGTGATGACGGGCAGGACAGACAGGTGCAGGAAGTATTGGAAGTGCCGAGGAGTAGTGGTGCGGATTTTTCTAAGGAAATATACCCGTAATTAACCAGATGTTTCCAGACGCTGATGATAGTGAGAATGGACGCTATCGAAAGGAAACTGGCCCAGGTTCCCAGCGAAGAACGAAAAAACAGAAAGAAGAGGGATGAGGCATCGAAAGAAACTCCGACTAAAGACACAGAAACGAAACAAACATGTATTTCTGCAAAGGAGCAGGACCCAGAAAGTGAGATAAATTATTAAAGGGAAGGAAAGAAAAATAACAAGTGTGGAGTGGCAACGATCACGAAAAAGAAAAACTCTTGGATCGATGGAAATTGAACAAAACTTGGCAAAAGCTTAATGATATGCTGGAAGAATGGAAAAAGGCAAGGTAATGCATAGTGTTGTCTTATAGCATTATTGTCTAGACTTCAGACAGCGGATTTCACAAAAGTATGTTACAGACAAAGAACAGGTGACCTGACCGGGGATGACCTGAGTGCCTGTCCTTTCGCAAATAACAGCTGCACACACGGGTCGCCTACGGTACCTCACAGCTCATCAGTGAATGTGTGCACGAACTTTCTCTTTTCTAGACCGTGACTCAATATTTTTTGTTTTTGTATTTTATGTTATTATCTGGTAATACACCTAAATTTTTTGTATGAGAACTGTGAGCCCACACTGGGACTTATCAAGATAAAGGGTGAGGATAACATTACGTTACCCACATCCTTTTGAGATGTAACCTTTTGTCTCAATAAACCTTGTCAAAAAGTCAAAAAAGTCCTCTGCTCTCTCTCTCCTCTCTCTCTCTCTCTCTCTCTCTCTTCTCTCTCTCTCTCTCTCTCTCTCTCTCTCTCTCTCTCTCTCTCATCTCTCTGATTCTCTTCTCTCTCTCTCTCTCTCATCTCTCTCTCTCTCTCTCTCTCTCTCTCTGTCTCTCTCTCTCTCTCTCTCTCTCTCTCACTTCTCTCTCTCTCCTCTCTCTCTCTCTCATCTCTCTCTCTCTCTCTCTCTCTCTGTCCTCTCCTTCTCTCTCTCTCTTCGCTCTCTCTCTCTCTCTCTCTCTCTCTCTCTCCCTTCTTCCTCTCTCTCACTTTGCTCCTCGTTCTCTTCTCTCTCCACTTCTCTCTCTCTCCTCTCTCTCTCTCTCTCTCTCTCTCTCTCTTCTCTCCTCTCTCTCTCTCTCTTCTCTCTCCTCTCTCTCTTCTCTCTCTCTCTCTCCTGCTCTCTTCTCTCTCTCTCTCTCTCTCTCTCTCCTTCTCTCTCTCTCCTTCTCTCTCTCTCTCTCTCTCCTCTCTCTCTCTCTCTCTCTCTCTCTCTCTCTCTCCTCTCTCTCTCTCTCTCTCTCTCTCTCTCTCTCTCTCTCTCTCTCTCTCTCTCTCTCTCCTCTCTCTCTCTCTCCTTCTCTCCTTCTCTCTCTCTCTTCTCCTTCTCTCTCTCTTTCTCTCCTTCTCTCTCTCTTTCTCTCCCTCCCCCTCTTTCTCTCTCTCTTCTTCCTTCCTTCCCTCTCTCTCTTTTCCTTCCTCCCTTCCTCCCTCCGCTTCCATTCCTCTCTTACCCCCTCTCTCTTTCTCTCTGTCTTCCCCTCTCCCTCCCTACCTCCCTCTTTCTGTCTTTCTCTCTCCCTTCCTTCCTCTCTCTCTGTCCTTTTCTCCCTCCCTCTCTCTCTCCCTTCATCCCTGGCACACTATCACCCTTCCTCCCTCCCTCCCAATTTTTCTCTTCCTTCCTCTCTCCCACTCTCTCTCTCTCTCCCTTCCTCCCTCCCACTCTCTCTCTCTCTCCCTTCCTCCCGCCCTCTCTTTCTCCCTCCCCCTTTCTCTCCCTTCCTCCCTCCCTTGCTATTATGAGCATTTCATCTGAAGGCTGAAGACTCACCACAAGTGCACAGATCTTTTGAAGGGTGATTAGACTCATTTGATGTTTAGAAAGAGGTTTATGCATTATTTCCATTTATAAATTAGTGTGGAATGTAGTGCCCGTGACTGGACACTATAGACTGGTGCTCTTCCATGACTGGAAGAACACCAGCTCTAGGGAGGACACTATTTCCATGCATCCAGCATCCTATTCCTCCCTGCCATGATTAGCAGTGCATGCTGTATCACAGGATATTGAATATTTGAATCTTTATTTCTCATCATTTTTTTAAATACACAAAAAACAAAATGTTACATATTCTTACTTTTATAACACTAAAGTTTGGATTATCTAGAGGGATGAAATGGAGTCTGTGCAAGGAAAACAATCTATTACCATATAGATAAAGCAAATCAAATGACAAATATGGATAAAGGAAAATGATAAAAATGGTAAAAATGCTCATGCAAAAAAAGAAAATAATATTGCAAAGGGGAGGCACATAGTCTTGCCACCGCACAATTGTTTGCATTCATCTGGCCAACAAGCCATGCACCAAGCAGAGCAGCTGCTCAAATGTGTTGACATTAATTTTCAAAAAAGAAAAAAGAAGAGGAACATTGACCAAACAAGCTGTTACTTACTGTTGTTTCCAATGTCAGAATTCACTCCTTTTGAGTTCATTCGTTGCAACAACTGTGGTGTTAATAGGAGCCCACACCTAGTGAAAAAAAAGTATTGGCAGAGAATACAAATTCCATTAAAAGACGAGACAGAAAAGATAGATATAATGAAGGACATTAGCCCCCACAAAAATGAATAAAAATGAACAAAATGAATAAAAGCAAACTAATGTGCTTCTAAGAACTCTGCAGCACCACAATAAAGAAAACATCCCAAAATTATAAGCAAACAAAATGACAGAGCAATTGGAAAGTTGTTCTCAAATTGTTATTAGTCAATATTTCCATCTATTCTACTTTACTTTGTATGGATTTTTTCAAGAAAACAAATAAAAAAAACTTTGATTTTTTTATAATCTTCCATTTTCTTATGTTCCTCAGTTAAAAAGGGTAGTAATAAAAGAATTCCCAGATTTTGGTTACTATAGCTTTGAAAACAAGATCAATTAGTTCATTATTCTAGTCAAATAACTAAAATGAATTGAGCAGGGTGGAAAGTAACTCTTAACATCTGAGCTGCATTGATCAAGTATTTAACTAAGTTCCCTTGTATGTTTTAGCGTACAAAACTTAGAGCAGACTCATCTGCATGTGATATAGCTATTTGCTGCTTACCATTAAGCCCAGTTTTCCATATTAGTTGCCACCTTTGTGATTGTTTCCAACAAAAAATGCTTTGTATTCTATGCATATTTGACTCTCAGACTATTAAGCTACCAATCTGCTGAACAGAAATTACTTAACCCACTTGCACCGGGTGTCACACATGTGAGACGCCTGGAAAAATAAAAATGGCCGACTGTCCCACCAGAGTGACACTAGATCAGAGCATGCACTTTGATTTTGTCGCCTGTGGCAGGCGGAGTGCGTTCAGGTTCCCGGATTGGGATGCACACCAATTTTGATACTGCCCAGAAACCAGGATTATCGGCTTCCAAATGGACCATCACTAGTGAGTTAAAGACCAAATCAATAAGCAGCTCAGCTCAAACTCTAGCCCAATTTCACATTGAATCATGGGATTATAGTAATGACCAGGTGGGTAACTTCAAGACGGCTATATTCTACAACTCATGACAATGTGGTTTATTCATTAAGATGAATAAACTATATGTGCTCCAACAAAATGTTCCACTGTGAATCTGTTGTGAATAATGCTGAGAACAAGCTTAGCCATGGGAAAAATAAAAGGTATTTTCATAAATTACATCGCTCCAAGCTTTTTTTATCAAATTATGTTAAACTATATAGTGCATCACAAAAGAATCCTTTCTAACTGCCACTTCGACTTTTGGTATAACTTCCTTGAATGTCAATAATACTCAGTAGGATTTGTAAGATCTGTGCATACATTCAGGCGAAGCAGGATTCCTTCCTATAATTCTCACTTTGACGTTGCTATAAACATATGCTTCAATGTGACATATGCTTCAATGATACCTGGTATGATGGTTTCATGTTATCACATCATCATTACCTATCAATCTCATAATCTAAAGTTGTATACATACACAAGAAAGTAAATTGAGAACTTGGGTGAGACCTGCAGCCTTATGCTCCTCTTCACCAACCCTCCTAGCTCATGTAATCCATCACAGATGGTGCAAGAGGCAGGAGAGGAACAGGGTTAGGAAATTTTATAGCATGACAGTACTTGGCGCCAATGGGTTATGGGCTTACACTAAAACAGTGATGACGAAGTTCAGGATGAAGAGATAGCGTAAAAACCTGAAGTAGGAACCAACACCCGTGCCAAACATTCCTTCTATCTCCTTGAGCTCCTTATGCCAGAGGCTGTAATCATGGAATGTGTCTTCCACAGATTGCCTTATCTGAAATAAAGAACTTCTACTAGTAGTTGCTATCGTTAAATACAACAATAAATGCAATAAAAATTAATGTTGAGGGATCTGCCTGTCATTTTCTCCTAAAAGAATACTATGTGGCTAATGTTTCACAAAAAACAGGATTTTTCAATCCAAATGAAATATTGCACATAACCCACATAAGCCCTACTTACATACAGAACAGGCACTATATTGTTATACTAGTCTTGGTATTTCATCAAAATAGACTAAATTAACTTTTAGATACATGAATTCTGAAATATGTTTGAAAAGGTTAAATAAGAATGAATGATTTCACAATGCAAGAATGCAATCTGATGCATTTCAATTGTATCTTTAACGGGTATTTCTGATGGAGATATAATCAAAATTCAGCAAATATACCTCTTGCACTTGCACTTATACCTCTTTTACATTAATAACAATGAATTCTCACTAAATATGTTAATCCCTATGATCTGGGTGATGTGAACATCATGTCATGAAAAAATTGGCTTGTGGATCAGGTGATGTGAAAATGCCAACATGGAAAATTTTGGCTGAGAGCTAGGGTGATGGGAACATGCCCTCATGATAATTTCAGCTGAAGGCAAGGGGTGGTGGGAATGACTTCCTAATAATGCACAAAGCACTTGGAGGGTGATTAGACTCTGTGGGCATTTAGGAAGGGGCTCTTGCACTCTTCCTATCTGTAAACTGAATGATGACTAGAAGAGCACAGTCTCCAGGGAGGACACTATTTTTATGCTCAGGATACTTTTCCTGTTTGTCATGACAGTCAGCACAGGGTGTATTACACAAAATTAAATATCATGAAAATATCAAATGTTTACTGTGGTATAATTGAAAGGAAAGTTGTAGCTATTGTGGGGGACTTGTTATGATTTGTAATTGTTGGGCTATGAGTTAAAGAAAACGGTGAGTGCTTGTTGAGGGATGCAGCATAGAAAACAGGGACGTCGACAGACCGGCGAGTGTTGATGCGAGCAAGGGCGGTCCAGCGTTTGATAGGAGGTGGTGACCTGGGCTGGGAGCTCCCGTTAATCAGTTGCAGAGTTTCGTGAGTTGATATAACAGAATGTAAGGTTGGTGAGAGATGGAGTGTTGTATTCTTGATTGCGGTAACTGTGTAGAATTGTGGTTTTTGGTTTATTTATGGGGGTGTTGTTAGCATTTGATTTATTGTTTTGGTGTCGGGTACAGCAAGTGGTGATCACAGTACTAGGTAAGAAAATTTCATTTGTGTACATCATTCTATTAAACGACATTTACACAAATAAAAAAATATTATTATAATTTATCATTGAACTGAATTGTGGATTACCTAGAAATATGAAAACAGCCTATCATCATCTGGATAAAGCATATCAAATGATATAGACATTGGAAAATGGCAAAAAAACAAAAAATGCTTATGCATAATAAGATATAATAATATTGCAAAGGGCCTTGACACCATATGAATATTCATGAGCGCCAGCCTACATGCCACACATTTATGAAAGTGGGTATTCAAGTATGCTTTAGGGGACAGTCCTGAGCGAATAAAATTTTTTGGGTCAAATTGAGTTAGCTAGTGTATAGTATAGGTACATGAATGAGGGAAACTTCTAAATGACTATTAAAGCCCAGCTATGGACAGTTCACGGGCACCACACTAATAAGTGCCCAGGTACACCTATGTGGACTTGCTTGTTGCAATCGTGCATACGGCATTTGATTATGACATTGCACATAGATGAGTTTGTGAATAATATTGCAAAGAGCCTTGACATCAAACAAGTATTCATGAGTGCCAGCCTACATGCCACACATTTATGAAAGTGGGTATGCTTAACCCATTCACGCCAGTATATTTTGAAGCCAAAAATAAAAGATTTCGGGCGGCTACAAAATTGGCGGCTGGAGTTTCCCGGAGTCTGTCCGCCCGCCGGCCACAGCCTGCCGCTGTGTCAGCAATGTTTACTTTTTCAGGTGTCTCATATATGGGACACCCGTCGCTAATGGGTTAAGGCGACCATCTGTTTTTTTTTTTTTTTTTTTTTTTTTTTTTTTTTTTTTTTTTTTTTGACAGCAATTTTTCTTGCTGATTTTGATGAAACTTGCACCTTTATATTTAGACTTTAGCCTGATCTCTGACATCATTTTTTTTTTTTTTTTCTTATCGCCCAAAAAGTTTAGAGTTTCAAAAACTAAATCAAATCCAGAAAAAAATACACAGGCATTCTGATGTGATTTTTTAATGAATTTATGCTAAATCTGGTGCTTGTAGCAAGCATTTTATTTGCTTCTGACTCGTATTCTTGTTGTGAATATTTGACTTAAACGACTTTTTGAGAAAAAAAAAAAAAAAAAAAATTCTTGTATATTTTCATAACTGTTTTGGTATTAACAAATTATGCATAAAAATAATCTCCCTATAACATAATTGTCTATCTTTTACCTGCATTTCAAAGTATTCTGGAAATTCCTAGTAAGTACTAGTATCTCACCAAACAACATTTGTTAGAGTAGGGTCACACGGATTAGGGCTATTTGTAGGTAAACGTTGACCAATTTCGGAAATTTCTCTAAAATTACCCACATATAACACAGGCCTTCTGATTTCATTTTCCAACAGAAAAACCTTTTATCTACTTAGCTTTTGGTTTGTAAATATTTTGCGTAGATGACTTATAGAACATAATTAGGACTTTTTTATATTTATGTCACTGTTACTAGAAGCACAGGAAAAAATGGCAAAAACAAAATGACACAAGCACTAGATTTATCACTCAGCTACAAAATGAGCCATAAAACGTTTATTTCAGACTTAAATTGTATGTGCTACAGCTTTTGAGGACTACAAAGGGTTGCACTTGAGTTGGAGTGTTTCTCGCTGGACATTGACCATTCTAAAAAATTTCCTGATTTCATAACTTAATAGAACAATCTTTTCTCTATTGCATAGTGGATGTACATTTTACGAATTCGACCTAATTTTTTATTTTGAGAATATTTTACGTAGGCTACTTTTTTAACTCTATAAAAGGGGCCACTTTTTATACATGTCACTTTTACAAGAAGCACATGAAAATATTGTTAATCCTTATTGCATCATGCTACAGATATACTATTCTGAAAATGCATGAGCTACACATAGAGGTGTAGAGTACAGAAATTTCGCAATTTTTTTCACCCACCATTTTTTTTATTTTTTTATACATTATTGATAACAAATCATAATTGTCTATTTTCCTTTATTGTTACTCTAATGGGGTTTTAAAACATATAATACTGGTCTGAAATATGATTGTTCTCTATGCCAGTGAATATCACAGTCACAGGCTGGGACGCGACAGAGGGGTCCAAGCGCATGCGTTCTTTGAGGCAACTGTCCTAGGACTTGTAACCCTACAGGTAGAAACGCCAACCTTTCACACCAACACTTCCATGAAATACAGATATACAAATACAGGGTGGTGTAAAATTATTCATATAAGACATGTAAATATATACAGATCATTTCCGTGGATCCCATGACCTTATGTTTATATATATTATTACTTCCTTTTGTTTGTTTGTTAATTGTATCTATGTTTGTTTCTTATGTTTGTATAATTCAATAAGTTATGAAAAGATTTTTATGAGATTTTTAACAGAGGTGTGTCTTAGCCTAATTGACACACCATGACATTTTGGTGGTGATTTGAGTCATGATTTGGAGCCAGGAATTTTTTTTAACTCAAAATGTTAAGGGCAGATTTTGATGAAATTTGTACCTGAGGTGTGACTTAGCCTAACTTATATTCCATAAAATTTTCGGGATGATCCAGATCATCTGGCAAACCTACCCCAATTTGGGGGAGGGGGTGGGTTTGCATGTTCAAAACATTTAGTTCAAGGATGAAATTGATGAAATATAATCAAAACATAAAGAAAAGAAAATACTTCATATAAATGGCATGTCATTTATATACATTGTATACAAAACTTATTCATTATTGTTTTTTGAATGCTTCTCAGATTTTTTATATTATTCTGTAAATATGAAAGTAGGTCTCACATTATGCGAAATTTTATAAGCTTTCAGAAATAATCTCATTTTCTTATATCTAATTGTTACTTATGGTGAAAAATCATAATATTTCATGGACATCGAAAGTGGCTGCTACCACCTGAAAAATAGTGGGTGGCCTATGAAATTTTCAGGGGGGAGATTCAGAGGCCCTGAAACTCTTTGGAAACGCATTTAAAGCAAATTCGGCAAGATGGGCAATTTTTGCCAGAAAGTGACTAGACCCCAATGATCCGGATGATGCGACCACTACATCATGAAAAAAAATTGTTTTGAAAGGTGGGTAACGTGAATCTGCCTTCATAAGAAAATTTGGCTATGGGCCTAGGTGACGGCAACTGTTGTGAGTATTTCAACTGAAGGTCTGGATGACAAGAATGACTCATCACGAGTGCACAAAACTTTAGGATGGGTTTTTAAAATTATTTCTATCAATAAATATGTGGAATGTAATGTCTATAAGCCATGATTGGAAGTGCACTAGCTCCATGGAGGACACTATTTCCAGTCTCAGGATCCTATTCCTGCCAGCCATTACTGTCTGCTTAGGTTATATTTCAGGAAATTGAATATATGAAAAAATATAAGATATGAAACAAATAACAAAATGCTTCTTATTGTAATTATTACTGCACTGAGTTATGGACTATCTAGAGAGATAATATGAAGTCTGTGCAAAGAAAACAGTTTTTTACTATTTGGATAAAGCAAATCACATGACAAATATAAATACTGGGAAACGGCATAAAAGCTTTAAAAACTTATGCAGAAAAAGAGAAAATAACTTTACAAAGGGGAGGAATAGAGTCTTGTCACTGCACAAAAGTGATTGTCTTTGCCTGGCCTACAAGCCACACATCCAGCAGTGTGTCCACTCACATAAGCATAATGCCACTATTTTGGGCCAGATGATGGCAGTGAAGCATCCGGATCCAATAGGTTAATGTCCAAATTTTAGGCTACATGCAGTGAAGTACCTAGTTCCATGGGGTTATAGTATAGAGAGAAAAATCATGTACCTAAGTATTACTTATATCATGTCACATATGAACACAGAACACAATACTACTTGAATCAAAGTTCTGATAAAATGAAGATCTGTACAAGTTTTATACACAGTTATGCAACACATATTGTAACTTCAAATAGAGCTAAAAACTTCTTTATAATTATGCACATGAACTTGATGAAAAGTCCATGTAGACATAGGCCTCGTAAAACATTAAAACCAATACATACCTTGTACCAATACATACTCATGCTGTACTTGAACTGCTTAAAGCCTGATATATTGTGTGAAGCGGCACGTGTGGATGAACGCCTTGCAGTGAGTCTTCTTCTGATTTCTTTTTTTACTCGAAGTGGTTTGCTCAACTCCCTAACAGTTTCTCTGCAAGAAAAATTCATATATGTACATATGTACATGTATATATAAAATTATATATATATATATATATATATATATATATATATATATATATATATATATATATATATATATATATATATATTATATATATAATATATATATATATAATAATATATTATATATATATATATATATATATATATATATATTATATATTATATTATAATTATATATATATATATATATATATTATATATATATATATATATAATATTATATATTAAATTTGCAATGATTGTCATCTTTAAAATGGTACAAATCCCCACTATGGTTGGCAATTAATCATTCACAGAGAGCAACGACTTAAAGACATTCTCCCGAAAAAGGAATCAGGAGATGGGCAATGTCTTGAGGGGGCCGTTGCATTCAAGACCGAAGTTCGTCAGTTATGATCGGATATTCGTGATTTTTTAATATGTTATACATACAAATAAATACCACCAAGTTTCACATCATTTGGATAATAAATAATAAAGTTATTCATGAAAAACAAGTTTTTGAATAATCACAAACTTTTTAAAATCGCACTTATCCATTGAACAATTTTTTTCTTTTTAATTATCACCTATAGTCTATAGCAATATCTATAATTTGCAAAGAACGGAGTTTTAAATTTCATTTTAGTTAAGTGGGAATTTATTTTTTTCTAAATGTTCAGTGTTATGAACATAACAATATAATATTTTCTCTTAGAAAACCATTGCAAATATATTCAGCTTTTAAGTGATCCAAACCCCATTAGAATCTCCCAAGTATTTATGGATGAATTTAAAAACTGCTGACAAATGTTGACAAAAGTGTAGTTTTGAGATATCAGGCTCTGAAATTTAGGAAACTTTTCCCTCAATTTTTTTTTTTTTTTTTTTTTTTTTTTTAGAATTCTAATCTCTGCAGCAACTTGCTGCATTCTGTGGCATTTACATGGTATTCTAAAGTGTAGCTGGTACATTGTTCCCTCCTTTTGCAAAGTACTAATGGTAATAACTGCACAGATTTCTTTCAAAATTGAAAAAAATCTCCTGTAATCTAGTGGGCTTTGGCAATCACGTGACATAATATTTTTGCTAAATATGTAAAATTAAAGGAGTTATGACTAAATCTCTGACCACACCTGCCTCCCGCTCCGATGTTTAAGTTGTCGCGTCTGTGAAAATATACTCAAGTTAATTCTTTTTCATATTTTTTTTGCTTTATTTTGGCATTCTCTGGTAGCTAGCTGGCAACTCTGCTTACCCATCAGCTGATTGTCATGACTGGGGCTCTGGAAGACAAAACTCCACCAGAAAATCAGAGAGAAAGGTTGCCAGCTCCTACCTCCATGACACCATATCGCAGAGTAGGCCCATATAACACAGTAAGGGGACAATACTAATTGTAGATATCATTTTAGTATTTAATAACCGTAATAAGATCAGAAATACTTCTTAATCACAGCTGCAATAGTTGTTTATACATTTAAATACCTCACGTGGTCAGGTTAGGCAATGAAAAGCCTGTGGTGACACGCGGTAATTCTACAATTATATACAGTTATTACCATTAGTACTTTGGGGTCAATGTATCAGTTACATTTAAGAATACCATGTGAATGCCATAGAATGCAGCAAGATTGCCGCAGAGATTAGAATCAAAGAAAAGAAAAAAAAAAAAAAAAATTGTGGGAAAAGTTTCCTAAATTTCAGAGCCCGTTATCTCAAAACTACACTTTTGTCAACATTTGTCAGCATTTTTAAAATTCATCCATAAATAATTGGGCGATTCTAATGGGGTTTGGATAATTTAAAAGCTGAATATATTTGTGATGATTTTCTTAGAGAAAATTTTCTTTTTAGGTAATAGTAGTCCATATATCATATCGTGATGTTCATAACACTTGACATTTAGAAAAAAATAAATTCCCACTAAACTAAAACGAAATTTAAAACTCCGGTCTTTGCAAATTATAGGTATTGCTATAGACTATAGGTGATAATTTTTTCAACAAGTTTGTTCAATGGATAAGTGGGATTTTAAAGAGGTTGTGATTGTTCAAAAACTTGTTTTTCGTATATAACTTAATCATTTATTAGCCAATTGTTATGAAACTTGGTGGTGTTTATCACTTTATAAGTATGTATAACATATTCAAAATTCACAAATATCTGATCATAAATGACGAATTTCGTTCTCGAGAGCAACGGCCCCCTTAAGGGGACCGAGTGTAGAATTAGCCACACAAATATAAATTCTTATGACGAAAAATTAGGTAGTGCGTGAGGTGGAGACCCCAAGATTCACTACTACTTTATCAGCGATTTTCACCCTTCAGCAGTCTCGCCTTAGATGACATTGCCTATTGAAATGGATCACAAAAGATTACAGTATCCTATTAAAACATTTTCTACCCAAAGTGAAGGACTTATATGAAAAAACTTGTAAAAATTGAAAATCATCAAGTCTTATTAAATTTCCCCCCCATAAA